GGAATATGGTTGTCACCCTGCACATGACTCTGCCCCAGGTTTTGGCCACTGTCGATGTGGCAAGTGTCACTGTCATGCCAACCGCACGGGCACAGCGTGTGAGTGCAGTGGGGACAAGGATGGCTGTGTCAGTCCTGAAGGAGGGTTCTGCAGTGGGCATGGCCACTGCAAATGCAACCGCTGCCAGTGCCTGGATGGCTACTACGGTGCCCTATGTGATCAGTGCCCAGGCTGCAAGACACCATGTGAGAGACACAGGTGAGACCCCAGGTCTTGCATTTTGGGAGCTGGGGCACAGTGGGGATCACTTAACCACTGCCACCCACTTGCCTTTCTGCACATAGTGTGGGTGACAACCGCCCAGTTGGTAAACTATTGGCATATACTGGACAGGGACTGTGCAGAGTGTGCGGCCTTTGGGACTGGCCCCCTGGCCACCAATTGCAGCATGGCATGTGCCCATGTCAACGTGACTCTGGTTTTGGACTTGATACGGGATGATGGCTGGTGCAAAGAGAGGACCATGGACAACCAGCTGTTCTTCTTCCTGGTGGAGGATGAAGTTGGAGGCAAGGTCATGCTGAAAGTGAGACACCAAGAAAGTAAGTGGGCAGGAATGCCTCGGATATGCCAAATGGAGCCCTGGAAGTTTGAAGAGTAGGGACTCAGAGCTCAGGCTGGGAACCAGGCAGGCTAGGGGTTGAAGCAGAGCTGTGAATCCAGGCAAAAGTGGAGGTAAAAGGCCTACTGGTCAAGTCTGAGGAACTGGGCACTTAAGATAACGCTGCTGGGTTACCTTCATTTTAACAGGTAGGGCTGGGGAGCTGGATGGGGCTGCATGCAGACTGCGGACAACTGTTGATCAACTCTATGCCCCAAAAGTCTGTGTTGTTTCACCTCCACAGAGGGAGCAGACCACACCCGGGACATTGCACTAGGCTGTGTGGGAGGCATTGTGGCAGTGGGGCTGGGGCTGGTCCTGGCTTACCGGCTCTCAGTGGAAATCTATGACCGCCGAGAATACAAACGCTTTGAGAAGGAGTGGCAGCAGCTCAAGTGGAAGCAGGTGAGACCACCTCATAGCCCACTGGGCTGGGATTTACTTGCTTCCCTTGGTTAGGTCCTTTCTGCTCTGCTTTCTCACTGGATCCTCTCCCCCAACACACCCAAGGGTGACCCTCCCACTGAGGTCCCCCCCCCACCTAGGTGTATGGGGCCTGTCCCAGGTTCTAGGTTGGCTCTCATGACTAGAAAATGGGGTCCTGAGACTTTTCCTCATCATTTCCAACCTTCTTCCACCAGGACAGCAATCCTCTCTACAAAAGCGCCATCACGACCACTATCAACCCCCGCTTTCAAGCGATGGAAAGTCCCCTTGCTTGAAAGGAGGTATGGATATTTACCCCAGGGTTGTTCCTACTAGGATGGTGGGAGTTGGGAGTATGGGGTCTGTCAGGCAGCAGCCTGGCAGGGGACTAACCACCACCTGCTTCATTCTCAGAGTGACACCCTGCTGCCTTCTACTGCAACCTTTTTTCCCTACCTCACAAGGACTGGAGGTTACGCCACCCACATATATAATAAAGTCTTACTTCAGATTGCAGATGTCATTTGCTTTACCCCAAAGCCAAAGCCGCCCTTGCCTTTTGCCACCTAAGGGCAGTCTTGAGTGTATGAGAGTCAGTAAGTGGCTACCTGGGAAGCAGCTGGTGGGCTGGACTAGCGAATTCCCAGCTCATGCTGGAGGAACACAGAGCACACTCTAAGCAGTCCTGTCTAGCCCTGGCTGGTACAGCTCAGTGGATTAAGCACTGGCCTGTAAACCCAGGGGGCAGGTCACCAGTTTGATTCCAGGTGGGGGCACATTCCAGGCTGGGTCCCTGGTTGGGAGTGTGTGAAAGGCAACCACACACTGATGTTTCTTTCTCTAAAAATAAATAAAATCTTAAAAAAAAAAAGAAAAGAAAAGAAACACCGTCTGTTTTAGTTGCTGTTACCTAACCTCATTCTGCCCTGTTCTGCAGGTGTTTCCCTCTAAATCAGAATTGACACCATTTTTAATTCTACTTGCTGCTCGGCTACGGAGAATTGCTCACGTGGTGATCTGTAGAGCACTGGAGCTTGTAGGACAGTTTTATTTGGGGGGAAGAAAAGGAAGACTTCATTGGCCCCAGTGAGAAAGCTCTGCCAAAGGATATTCTTCTCAAAGATGAGATAGTACGTAGAAAAGCCCCATTTTCTTTTTATTTAAATATCCTAAATATATCACGAAGGAACATACACTGCACTTTAATGGTAAAAAGATACAAGTTTATAACATCTTATAAAAACTACCATTTAAAAGTGATCTTGTTCATTTGATACCCCCCATAGCAAAATAAGTGTATTAAAAAAAAAAAAAAAGGGGTGAAGAGAAAGGGCAGGAGGGATTGTTAAGATAAAAGCCCCAGAGCTACAGCAGAGGCAAAGAGCATCTGGGGAGAGAGTTAAAAGTTGTGGCGGGACTCTGCGCCTCATTTAACCCTCCAATGTCAAGCCATGGGGCACAATCAGTAGCTAATGATGAAAAGAGGCTGTTGGGGGTGGACGGAAAAGACTTGGGGTGCTGGGAAGGGCAGGGCTGATAGGGCCTGGTATAGCAGCTCATCCAGGAACTGGTGCTACTCTTTCCCAGGTCCCCGAATTCCATGTCCTGGTCTCTGAGCGCCTGCCCCATCTCCTTTCCCCTTCACTCCAAACACACCTGAGGCATCTTTCCAGTGCTAGACCCCATCCCAGAAAATGAAGGGTGGGGTATTGGGCCTAGGAGCCTCCGCAGCGGTCTTCGTCTATGGTTTCCCTGGGGTATAAGTGGGGCTCCTGCGCCCTCTGTACACTAAATCACTCCTTTCACCTCTTTGCTCCTTTCTCCTTACACGTCCATGGCCCCAGAACATCAGCACCTGGACAACTGAACAACCTGCTCCTGAGTCTTCGCCACTCCTAATCCTTGGCAGGGGTGGTTTCCTCTCTCCCACCCCCTCAGGCAGGAAGCTGAGGCCTGCTGGGGGCCAGGGCACATTTTGACCTAAACACACATTCACTCACATGATTCTCTCCACACCCACCCACCCCAACCCACAAATTAGCTGTAAGTGGCAGGGAGCAAGGCCTCCCATTTTCAAAAGCACTCTTAGGAGGACAGTTTTCTAAATGTATCCTCTATCCTCCTCCCCAGAATATATTCCTAGAGGTGAATGACAGGCAAATTCCAGCCTGAAGAGCATTCTCACAGGAAGGGGGCTGGCTCACATGCAGAAAGATGCCCTGCTTAAAGGGACCACAGGGCAGATCCAAGGACTGAGGTCTAGGTCCTAGACACAACCAGTGGAAGTGCCAACCTAAAGCTAGAAGAGCAGAGGGCGGCAAACACATTCTCCAAAGTCTCTCCCAAAGGGTCTCTCCCAAAGGGTCTCTGACACTGTCAGGGAAAACCTAAAGGGTGCCATGACTCTTTTCTCTTTCCCTGAAATCCTTACACCTCAGAGATATGGAGGACTGGGCCCCACCCCTCCCTGCTCTCTTCCAGAACAGGTAACGGCAAGGAGTTTGTAGCTACTGTTCCTTACATTTTCTGGGAGAAGAAATCACACTTCCTAGATGTTGCCATCTCAGATCCCCACTGACAGCTTCGTCAGGTTCATCAAGACTCCATGATTACTCCCCACCCCACAGCTCAGGGCAGGCCGCAGAACACAGGCCACAAACCCCAGAACCTTCTTCCATAAGGATCCTTTCCTTAGCGGGAAAAGGGTTTTTTATTTCACTTTAGAAAATCCATGTTCACAAACCCCTGGCTTGGGTTAGAAACATTCTAACCACCAGTCTGTTGAAATCGATCTTAAAAAAACAAAACAAAAGACCCTCCAAAACAAAGCCCTCTAGTTCCCTAAGCTGAATTCCTAGGCTCCTGCAGGAACCATAAGCACCCTTTGGGTTTCAGGCAGGAAAAGCTGCTTTCTGCTCATCCTACCCTGCACAGAGGGCTAGAGAAGGGTTTGGCTCAATAATATGCCACCTCCAAGCATACAAACACGAAACTCACATACCACACACACACCTGATCACTTTTTTGAGGCCGGCAGGGTAGTGGTGTTAGAGCAGAGAAGAGCAAAAAATATGGTTAAGAATAAAACCTACATTAGGTTTTTTCCTCAGATCTTTCTCTGTAGCACACCTCCCAATTCTTTGATGGGTAGGAAAGGCCATCAAAAAGGAAGCGAAGATCTTGTTCTTTGGGACCAAAGGCCAGATCCTTATCTCCTCTACCTAAATACAGTGATAGGACTTGGACCAAGAGAACAGCTTGCACTGCTTGACTGTCAGGTCAGGGGACACCAAATTCCTGTCTCCTGAACAGTCGTTACTCAACTTAGGAGTAGTCTTGCATGGTTCCTAAGAGGGCACAAGGAGGAAGAACCTACTTTGATACCCATGGCTCCCCTCTGTCTGGCTTAGGAATCAATGGCAGAGAGGTAGCCACAGACTATTTCCAAGGTTAACTGCCCAAAGAGAGAAGGAAAGGGTTTCATAAGCCACCCTCACCCAGTTTCCTCCAAAAGGCACTTAGGCTGACCCCATTAGGTACCTGTGTGGCATGGGCCATTACAACACCCACGGGCACAACTCTTACTCTTCCCCAGAGGAAATAACAGGTACCTGTCCACTCTTCTTGGATCCAGCCCTCGTCTGCTCCTCCTACTGGTCTTCCTTTTGTCCCTACAGTGTATAAGGAGGCCAAAGTAAGCTCAGCTGCCACCCTGATCCTGTTCTCCTTCAAACAGGTGAGGTGCAGGGCTGCGGACACTGAGGATCAAATGAAACTAAAAACTCAATTCTGGTGGAGGGCTGGACCACCCACAGTCCCTGTGACCGTGGCTCTATGCTCCAGATGACCTGTATCTACAGTGCACCTGCTGAAATTGCTTTTGGATAAATAAAAACAACAGGACAAACAAATATACAAATCCCTCTCTCCCAATCTTTTCCATTTTAGCTGCCAGATGGAGTCCAAGGTTGTGGGAACCACACTTCAGTCTTGGTCCTGTACCTTGCATCCCCCACCTATGACCTCAGCCAAGGGTCTAGGGACTAGCTTTCCTACCCAGGAATGCTGCAGGAACTTCCCCGAGATACTCATAGTCTCAGATTATTTACAGAGCTCAGGCTCTGGGGCTGCCGTCCCCTGGTGCACTCTTCTGGTCTCCTGGGTCCACTCCTCCAGGAGGGGACAGGTACACATGGGGTGGTGGTGGGACCATCAGACCAGAGGGGGTTGCGTTCTTCGGTAGGTTCTTCTGATCACTCCCACCACCCAGGACCCCTTGCGCCTATAGAGAAAACTGCCCGTCGGAAGTCTTGGACTGGCACCCTTGGCACATCCGTTTGTGTCTGAGTAATCGATCTGTCCGAGAAAAACACTGAGAAAAAAGACAGGGTTAAGTGCCTGAGAGGAGAAACTCAGCTACCTGTTGGCTAGATCTGTCCTCCTCACACAGAAGGCACACGACCAATCCTACATGGCATCAGAACCTACAGAGATGGCATGAGTGTGCAGTGGTTAAGAACAAGATCTGAAGTCTGCGTCCTGGTTCTACAACCACATAGTCATGTGACTTTGGGCTAGTTTATCTAACAGTTTTGAATCTGTAAATTTATCTGTAAAGTGAGGCTAAAATTACCTACTCACAGTGTGGCTCCTTCGTTCATCAAAAAATATTTTTAAAATATTTATTTATTTTTAGAGAAAGGGGACAGGAAGGAGAAAGAGTGGGAGAGAAACATCAATGTGTGGTTGCCTCTCATGTGTCCCCCACTGGGGACCTGGCCCGCAACCCAGGCATGTGCCCTGACTGGGAATCGAACCGGCAAGCTTTTGCTTCACAGGCCCTCGCTCAAGCCACTGAGCTATAGCAGCCAGGTCCGTTCATTAAATTTTTGAGTATCTACCTCAAGGCAGGTACGGTTCTCGGGGCTGCGGACAGGGTGAAGAACTAGAGGGACGAAGCCTCTGCCTCATGGAGCTTTCATTCTATTGTTTTGAAGATTTAGACCTGGCTAGTGTAGCTCAGTGAATTGAGCACGGGCCTGCGAAGCAAAGGGTCGCTGGTTCGATTCCCAGTCAGGGCACATGCCTCGGTTGTAGGCCAGGTCCCCAGCAGGGGACATACGAGAAGCAACCACACATTGATGTTTCTCTCGCACTCTTTCTCCTTCCCTTCCCCTCTCTCTAAAAATAAATAAAATACTTAAAAAAAAAAAAAAGATTCAATAGAAAGGAGCAAAGCTTGAGACTAGTAAAGTATCCAAGAGGTATTATTATCATTTTTTATATCTTATTCTTTGTTTTGGTCCTGGATCTTACATTCTCAACAGATCAGATACTGACCCCCGGCGCAAAGACTATATTTCTTCCTCCAAAGTGCACCAGCCCTGAAATTTGACTGAATTTTGGCTCTGCCCTTAATCTGCTGTATCCTTGGGAAGCTTAACCTCTTTCAATCTCAATTCTTCCACATGTGAAATGAGGACAACACGGTACTTTATTGAGTTAGTGTAAGAATAATCTATGTCAAGTAGGCTCTCACAGGGCCTGGTACAGAGTAAGACCTTAAGAAATGCTATTATTGCCCTGACTGCTGTAGTTCAGTGGATGGAGTGCCAGCCTGCAAACCCAAAGGTTGCAGGTTCGATTCCTGGTCAGGGCACATGTCTGGGTTGCAAGCCAATGTTTCTCTCCCTCTCTCTCTACCTCCCCCCCTTCAAAAATAAATAACATCTTTAAAAAAAAAAGCTGTTGTTATTATGGTGATTAATTATTCCAATTATTCCAATGGCCCCTCGCCATCATCAGATGCCTAAGGCCAGAAAAGTACACCTCACCCTGAGGTACTAACTTGATCATGGCCAGGAACACTAGGTGACACTCCGTCGGGCTGAGGGTGAGGGCTGGCCCTGTTTCTTTGGGAAGGAAAAAGTTTCTGTTGGGGGGTGGGTGGATGACATGTGAGCTTACCTGATGACACCGTTCACACTGGTAGGGCTTTTCCCCACTGTGCACACGCTTGTGACGCTCCAGGTGGTACTTCTGGATAAAGCGCATATCACACACATCACACTCAAATGGCTTCTCACCTGGACCAGGTGGAGAGAAAAGTTAGTAACAGGAGGTATACATGGCAGAACCTGGTTCTAGGTACTTCCTCCCAGATTTTAATTTTTAGCAATATGCAGACATCTGATGGGGAAGGATCCGCAAAGCTGCTGGTCTCAATGACACTAGGTACAGAGCCACACAATTTATCTACCTCATTCATTTACCTTCTTCCTTTATTTTTAATACCCTTTAAAATAAGCCCCAAAAGAACTATAATCTCCCCAAACTATAAACTACTCTCCCCTCCTTGAGTATGAGCAAGAGACTTACCAGTATGAATAAGGATGTGCCTCTTGAGGTGGTAACTGCTCCTAAAAGCTCCAAAGCAGTGCTCACAAACAAAATTTTTGGGAATCTTTACTTGAAAAGAACCATTTTGTTCCACTACCACCACCTGGGGACAATAATCAGGCATATCACGAGGCTGCCCCTCTGCCCTCTTCTTGCCCTCCCTCAGCCCCCAATTCTACTCGGGGTCTATTTCCACCTGCTGAACAGGATAACCCCTCTGATGCTATCACCTCCCATACCTCCTAGAGTTCAGAAATCCTCTGAGAAAGAAAGGGGGCTGGGTAAGCTGCCCGCCTCATCAGACTCAACACTTTTAAAGGGACCTGAGGGTTAGTCTGCCTGTCCCTTTGCCACAGTATCTCATGCCCCTCTAACCTTCCTTCCCTTACCAAGGATGTTCTGCGGAGGATGGAGGTCAATTACCAAAGTGGTCTCTGGATGAGATCGGGGTGACACACTCACTGGCTGTGAGGGACCAAAACATCTAGGGAAGGCTCCAGGTTGAGCCACAGGAGAAAGAAAGAGGAGGATTACCCTACGACCAACTACATGTTTTTGGATAACCCCATTACCTGCCTTTTTAACAGTCTTTTTTGAATGAGAGGCCTCAGCCAAGCTGTCTTCATCTTTGCGGTTCCGGGATTTATCGCTGTCTTTTCGGTGGCCCTTCAAATACAAACCAAATCTAAACTCACAGTCCATCTTAGAACACCGAAAGAAGACCGAATGCTGCTGTTAAGCAGCTTGTTAATGACGTGCCCAAAGGTTTGGAGAAAAAGTACTCATCCATTTCTTCTCCAAGTACTCTGGATTTAAGGGGTTGTAGGTACAGAAGTCGAGACCTTCGTTGGCTCTCTAAAATACCCATATTCATTCACTCCCCAGCTAGATTCCCTTATCCCACACTTCCCTAAACAGAAGCATTGAAGAATCAAAGCTTGGCATCTCCTGGCAGAGAGCTCGGGCCACCCGACCCCCAGGGGCCACAATGGACTCAAGTGCTGTACCTGACTTGAGCACCTCAGCACATCAGGGCTACCTGCCCGCTCTCCATTCTCGGCCTGCTTGCTGGCAATCTGGCTCAGCATCATCTTCTTGCTGGCTGCAGTGGGAACCAAACTCACACCTGCTAGGCCTTCACAAGCAAGGAGACTTGCCTAAGTTGAAAGGAGATGAGGTGTCAGGTCACCTGGCAGGGCAAAAACAGGGACCTGAGGGGCATTTTTCCTTTATTTCTAAATACAAACTGCTCCTCTCTAGGGAATGTCTCTTTCACTGCAAAACCCTGCTTCCTTCAAGAGTCCTCCCTAACTCATCTCACCAGGAACTAGTTACTTATTTTGTTATCCATCATTTAGACATAATAACCAAGTATTACTGACACTTTTATCATTAGCACTGTGCTAGGTACAGTGTGCGTCTACATATTATTTTGAAGCAGTTCTAGGCCTTGTGAGTAGGCATGAGGGTCTGTCCTGCTGACCCACTGAAATGGGAGATTTCTAGAGGAACTTCCTCCTTCCTCTCTCCAAGCTTCACCAAACTTCACAGATGCCTCTGGTGCCAAATATATATTGTCAGGTCCCACAAATACATTTATTAGATCATTTCTCTCTTTAGATTTTAAATTGCCTAAGTGTTGCCAATTACAACATATAAAAATTAAACCACATGTAAGGATTTGGGAGTTAGTTGAAGATACGATTTCTCTTGACAAACCACCAGGCCATTTACATGTCTGCACACCCATATTTTTTCACATTCCCTGCTCTACATATAGGTTAAAATTGCATGAGCAAGAAATATTTAAGAATATTTCCTCTTTCCACTGTTACATTCTTCAAATTGACTATTTAGCCACAACTAGAGAACATACTTTTTTTTTTAACAAAAGAATCTTTTTAAGAAATAGTTGTTAGCAAACTTCCACAGTTGATTTATAAAGAAATTCCTTTTAGATGATCAGTATATCCCGGAACCTCTTCTCTCACCTTCAAGGACTTTGGACTAAATAGGCTGGAGGCAAAAAAGAAAATAAAAACCAAACAAAAAAGTTTGCTTTACCGTTTTCATTATATAATCTTGGGCAAATTCCTCTACCTCTTTAAGCCCAAATTGCCTTAAATGCCAAATGTTACCATAGTATCTACCTCCACAGGGTTAAGAATTAAACTAGGATGTATAATGGTTAGCAATGCCTAGTACAAAGCTAGTGATTAGGGACAGGCAGTCTTCTCAGAATGAGAGTAAACATGATGCTGTCAAATGGACAAAAGGAAGAAACTAAAGGGCTCCTACTCTGTGTGGAAAGGAGGAAGCTATGCATGCAGCTGGAAGAAAGTCAATTATACCGTAATCAGGCTACCATCCTGGTGAGACTGATAGGGGAGGGTCCCTGGAAGAAAGCTGAGATCCCTGCACATAGCTTTCCTACTCAGACAACGAAAATAACCTGACAATAACTTATCAGGTCATCCTGTCTCTCCAATCCATCCTGGATACCCACAATGACCATTACCTCCTAAATAAACAGATCTGATGCCACTCTGCTACATAACATTCTTCAGAATTCCCACTCCCAATAGAATAAAGTCTAATCCTTTATTAATGCATAAAAGGCCCTTGGGTTGTACTCTCCTTAATTCTCCAGTAAACAACCCCCTCACCCCAATGTTTCCACCCATCACTATCTATCCGATTCTCTTAACCGACCCCCATTTAAATCCTTTCCTCAACTAGCAAACTATCTGCAATACTTCCAACCTTACCACATTCTCCCATCCCTCTAAGCTTCTACCCATGAAATTCTCCTCGTCTGAACACCCTGTTTTATTTATCTAGCAAAATCCTATGCATCTTTCAAGATTCCTCCATTTCCATCCAGAGGTATCATTCTCTCTTCTGCAGTATACACATCTCAATTATTGCACATTCCTTCAATCAACAGATTCACTGAGTCTCTACTACTAGTCAGCCACTATGCAAAGTGGTGTGAATATAAATAACACTGTCTTTCCATCTTCCCCCACCCCAAACACACCTAGCCTAGAACCCTGCTGGGGGCTGGGACAATCTCATTCATTTTTGGATCCCCAACGCAATGCTTTGCACATAACAAGAGCTCAATAAATTCCTGTTGAAGGAAAAAAAAAATGAAGCATTCACAAGACTGTTTACTCTGTCATGCCCCTCAACACTTAATGCACCAAGTAAATTGAGTAACTGCTGCTTTGCAAATGTTCCATCAGTGCCTGTGATGTAATATAGCCTACCTCCTTCATTTGACTGGAAGCTCCCTGAAGGCAGGGGCTGTGGCCTGTCTCCTTTCCTTCCTCTAGATCTCCCCCCGGTGCTTAATACAGAGCTTGGCTCACTGGGTTGGTCAATACGGTGACTAAGGCAGCATTCAAGACTGAACCTGTGAACGCGCTTCCCAGTGATCTTGAAGGAGGACTCTAGAGCTTTTTACCTGAGCCATGCTGATTTCTCACTTAATGCAACCCAAAAGTTCAGGGGCTTCTTGATCCACCTTTCCTTAAAAAACTTTTGTTTGAGGAACTGTCACCAAATCACTGTAACGACTCCTTCATGTCCCTTCAGTCCTGCTGCCATATTGAACTTTGTCTTCAAATAAAACTTAGTGTCCTCCAAATAGAAGATAGATGATCCAAGAATTCCTGGACTCTGCCTGGGTCCTGCCTATTGTCTGAAGAGTGTGCCAGTCTTGGTTTTCCAACTGAATCCTCTTCACGAAGTTCACAATCTGTTTCAGAAACCTGAAACCACAAAGGGAGATGGGGCTGTTAGCTACAATATCCTCAGGCCAAACAACCTGTAGTGAGCTGAAATTTTTTTTGTTCAAGCCTTCTATGTGAAACTCAGAAAGAGGACATTAGTGAAGCAGAATTATCTTTCTAGGTCGAGAAGAAGAAACTGGTCTCTTAGGCAAGGGGGAGGGAAAAGTCAACAGCAAAAGTAACTGGGGTCTCTTCTAGAGGAACTGCAACAAGACAAATGCTTGGACTTGCCATTTTTGGAATGGAAGAAGGGACCTGAGGCCCTTCGGAGAATAAGTGCTTGGCATTCGGCCTACTTGGTACAAAAGCTCCGAGTAGGCCAAACGCAAAGCTCGTATTCTGCTAAGGTGACCAGAGCAGGGATGGAGAAAAACTCAGGAGAAAAGCTGGGTGCTTGGATAGCAGGAAGAAACCAGATTAGCAGTGTGCATCAGGCAGGGCCACACGTGTGCCTTCTCCCAGTTTGCCCCAAGGTGCAGAAACTCACTGCGGAGGTGGAAGGCAGGCACGCGAAGCCCGGCGCAGCGCGTTCCCTCTTTGCCTCCCTCGCTCCCTCCCTCCCTTGTTCCCTCCCTCCCTTCTTCGCTCCCTCCCTCCGTCGCTCCCTCCCTCCAGCCAGCCAGTAGCTGAGTCGCAAGAGCAGATGAGACACGGAGAGCGCCGAAGGCCGTGCAAGGTGCGTGCTCGCGCCCGCGTCCCCTCCAAGCAAGCTCCCCCTGAGCCCCCGCCCTCGAGTCAGTAACGCTGCAGGCGCGCAGGAGGGCGGGGGGGGGGGCGGTGCGCGCGCGCGCGGACCCTTCCCCTCCCCAGGGAGCCCCCTCCCTTCACTACGCGCCCCTCCTTCTTTCCCCTCCCCCTCCCCGCGCGGCGCCCCATGGCCTGCGAGCTGCTGAAGCGCAGCCGTCTGCCTGGACGACTCTGCGCTCCCTGGGGCGCGTTCCTACCTGCCAGGCGCAGCCTCCAGCTGTCTCACCCACCGTGCGACGCCTCCTTCAGACCCCAACACACTGTGCCAACACCGTAGTTACCTCTGCCCCCGCCGGGACTGAGACAAGTTTACAAACACCAACCCCGGGCCTGCTTCCCCGGAAGCACTTCCCCCTCCCCCTTGTCCTCTCCGCCGATCTGTTATATCCACTTCCGGGCTGAACAAGCCTGGGCAGCCAGAAAGGGGGCGAGGCCGAGGACGCAGGCGTGTGGTGCAGCCACTGAGTGGATGGTGCCTTCAAGAGGAAACACAGGAAGAGGGAGGGCCCGTGGTATGGCGCGTGCGCTGTGATGTGGCAGAGCTCCGGCGGCCATTTTAACTGAGGGCAGGACGGAAGACCCTGAAACGAAGGTCCTGAGCAAGGTGCTTCTTGATGGGTTTGGTAAAGACTTCTCGAAAAGGCGCTATCACTCTATCTACCTTCCTTGAGAACTTTCTCTCTATTGTTTCTAAACTTGGAGCTGCAAATATAGCCAGAATAGTTTGTACCCGGCCTTTTCATATACCTTGGCCGTTTGTTACTTTACAATCAGGCCCCAATGTGCAGATTCTGGGGCCGCCCTGTCAACTGGGAGAGGAGTTGCACACTCTGCACACTTCTGTCGTGTACACTCAACTTCTCTTTGAAAATGGGCGCCCCGGCGGTGATCCGCGCACCCCGAGGCCAGTCTGGTTACCTTATACCAATTCTGCCTTTATTCCAGACTCTCCGGCGTCTGACATTGGCTTCGCTTGGAAAAAACCCTTAGGACTCTCCGCAGCAGGAGACTAGTCTTGTTGGAGACAGCGATTCTGGAGGGCCGTGGTCCTGGCTGCATTAGGAAGAACGAAACGAGCTTTTCTTCAGTTTTAGCAATTAGGAAGTGCTTAAGGTGGACTATGCAAAGTGCACTTGATGGAAGGAAATGTCCATTCTATTTGAGTCCCAGTTTCTGTTGTTAGGTGCTGTCAGGTTGTGAGTTTAGGAGAATTAATGGAGATAGCAAAAGAAAAAAGATCTTTATTTATGAAAGAAGATGATTCCCAGCTATTTTTTGCACAGAGGCTTCATTTCCCTGAACATTCTATTATTTGAACCACTGACGGCGACTCCTTGAGCTCTTAGGACCCTCATAAAATTGAGAATGAATAGACAGAAACAATCAGAAGTAAGTCTTTAATTTTTTTAAATTAGCTCATTTGTTTGAACAAATTCACACACAACAAAAGAATAAAAGGCGAAAAATTATTGCCCCCCCCCCACTATCCAATGCTCCTGAAGGAGCACACAATTTTATGTTTGCTATACATACCTCCAGGCTTTTTCTATGTTCACACTCCAATTTTTTTTTCATTTAGGACATATTTTTTTGAGTCCCTACAGTCTGTGACACTGTGTATTTTAGACATCTAAGTCAGTTCACACTTCAGAAATTGATGGCATAGTATTCCAGCTTATGTTTTTACTTTAATTTGTCTAGACTCATTCTCATGAACATTTAGGTTAGTTCCAGTTTTTTTTTTAAATCATGCCATAATGAACATCCGTATATAGTTACTCTTTTGCATTAGATTTGTAGGTAGGATATGTGCATTGTAAATTTTAATTCTGTGCAGTTGAATTTTAAAAGTTTGTAACTGCATTCACTCAGAACTGTGTATGAATGTCCCCATTTCCTATAAACTTCTCAATACTGGATGCTAGGAATTCTTTTTTTTTTTAAATTTATTTTTTTACTGATTATGCCATTACAGTTGTTCTATTCCCCCCTTCATTCCCCTCCACCCTACCCCCTCGTCCCCATTACCTCCCCTTTAGTTTATGACCATGTGTCTCAAGTTCTTTAGATTCTATATTTCCCATACTATTCTTGACCCCCCATCAATTTTCTATCTACTGTCTATGCTACTTATTTTCTGTACCTTCTTTCCCCTTCTCCTCCTCCCACTCACCAAGCCTTTATTATAGGAATTCTTTATATAGTTGCTAATTTGATAGGTGAAAAATAGTAATTTTATTCTAATTTGCATGTCATTAATAGTGAAATTGTTTTTTGACCATTTCGTTGTTTTTGTAAACTGCCTGTTCATCTTCTTCAAGGAAAAACGTAGTTCATTTGTCTATTTCTTATTGGTCAATAGGAGTCTTCTCTATGTTATATTAGCTTTTTATTTGTCATATGCTTTTAATCCATTTCTCTTGGATTTTTATTTATGTTTTATCTTTTTTTTCAGAGCAAAAGTTATGCTTTATAGGGAAATATTTGAAACATTCCTATATAGGAACAGGACAAGAATGTTTACCATCTAAACGAATATTCTACTAGAGTTCCTGGCCACCCCCCAAAAAATCTCATTATACTCATATGATATATTCATCTACAAAGAGAACTGATTGACAAAATAGTAAAACTAGTAAGTTCAGAAGCACAACCAGATGTAAGATTTAACAAACAGAAATTATATAATAAAATATAATGGTAACAACCAGCCATAAGAATGTCATGGAAGAATCTCATGCACAATAAAACATACTACATTTCTAGAAATAAATTTAACAGGAAACTGCAAGTCATGTAGTAGTTTTTTAAATTAGACTATTTTAGAGAAAGGCAAAAGGGCTTGGTTAAATGAAGAGTTTTAACTATATTCATTAGGAGGAAGACTTGGTATCATAGAGACCTAAGTTTTTGCTGTATGTTAAATTCTATTTAAAACAGGACTTTTCATGGAATTAAGCTTTTTTTTAATTTACATGGAAAGAAATAATTACAAGGGGAGGGAAAACCATTTGGCATACATCGAGTGGGTAGAATAATGAGTGGGGGAAAATAAAGCCATCTGTTATTTTTAACCAATTTAATGGTGTCTTTATTTACACAGAATTTAAAAAGTTTTACCTAGTCAAATCTGCCTGTGGCTTTTGGGTTTTAGTGACATGTTACCTCAAGATTATAAAAATATCTCTGTACTTCCTTCTGGTATTCTTATAGTTGTAAATTTTTAGTTTACATCTTTGTCTCAGCTGCAGTTTATTTTTTGTGTATGGTGAGAAATAGTGAGAAATGCCATACTTAATTCTCTCTCTGGCCCAGGGCCCTCATCTTGGAAATAAGGATGAATAGCCCTGGCTGATGTGGCTCGGGATTGAGTACCAGCCTACGAACCAAAAGGTCACCCTTTTGGTTTCCAATCAGGGCACATGGCTGAGTTTCAGGCCAGGTCCCCAGTTGCAGGTGTGGGAGAGACAACCCATTGATGTTTCTCTTCCTCTCTCCCTCCCTTCCCCTCTCCCTAAAAATGAATAAAATTAAAAAAAAGAAAAGAATGAATAAATAAATACCTTTCAAGCTAATTTCTAGCGTAACTGTGAGAACATGACATCATAGATGAGAAGGCTTTGAGAAGAAAGAAAAACCCTTTGCAAATCCTTTAAGTTAACATTAATACAGATTTTTGGCTTATGCAAATTAAATATACGGGGAATGCAGTATTATTTTTCTGTACTTGAAAATGGTTGAGCGGGGTGGGCTGGGATGGGGGTAAAAGGCAGAAAACTACTTGAGCAACAATTTAAATTAAATTAAATTTTAAAAAAAAGAAAATAGTTGGTTAAGCCCTGGCTGGTGTGGCTCAGTGGATTGAGCCGGGCCCGTGAACCAGAGGATCGTGGTTCGATTCCCAGTTAGGGCACAAGCCTGAGTTACAGGTTTGTTCCCAGCGGGGGATGCAAGAAAGGCAACCATACATCGATATTTCTTTCCCTCTCTCCTTCCCTTCCTCTCTAAAGATAAATAAATAAAATCTTTTTTAAAAAGTTGGTTTATTTACTAAATGTTTATTGAGTGCTTTTGTGCAAGACCTTGGAGGAAGGGAGTGGAGAGGGGCAACGGTGAGAAGTAACATTTTTTTGAGTGCTTATTTTGTATTTGGTGCTTTTCTTAAAGAATGATTAAAAACTAGCTCTCTCCCCCTAGGGATTGACAATCTAGAAGGGGAGGAGCCAGTGGCCAAAAGGAGAATAGGTGTCTCTGTTAAGATGAATGTTGAGTCCGTAGATAGTGTTTTCACTTTCTAACAATAAACCTGGCTGAAAGTACTTTCAGAAGCTACTTCCCTAATCCCTTTGCCCACAGGCCGGCCTCCTCCTGTGAGATCTTCCCTGACTTCCTCCATACACTCTTCCCTCGGGCCCACCCCATCATTTACTCAAATAGTATTGTAATGAGTACCAATTAGTGTTTTCCTGTACCCACTCTCTATAGTTTTAAGGAGAGGCCGAGTGTTTTCTCTTTTGAAGGCTACCCTGGGTTATTTGAGCTGAATTCACCAGCCTTGTCTTTCCTTCATAAGTTTCTACTCTGTTGTGGAGAACATGCCTTTATTTTACCTGTCAACCTCCCTTCTGGGGTCTGTTAGCTGAACTAGTGCACAGCGCAGACATAGCACCCAGGGCAGTGACAGGAAACAAGCAGATACTCAGCCAGTGTTTGCTGAACTAACTGAACCCAGTCCTTTTTCTGAGAGCCAGCCAGGCTGTGTGATAAATGAGCAGTATATTGCTACCTTTGTCACTCAGACCCTTTTGATGGTAATTGATTGGGGAATTGGGGAAAACACATGATGTACTAGGGTCATTCCTTGACCCTTGCATTTTGTGTATTTTGGAATTCTTGTTGCCCCTTAATTCCTCCTTAATCTCTTTTGGTTGCGTAAAAATAACCTTGAACCTTAGCCAGGTAGCTCAATTGGTTGGAGTGTGGTCCCATGCACCAAAAGGTTTTGGGTTCAAGTCCCAGTCAGGGCACATATCTCGGTTGCTGGTTGATCTCTGGTCCAGGTTCATACAGGAGGCAGCTAATTGATGTTTCTCACGTTGATGTTCCTCTGTGTCTGTCTGTCTCTCCCCCTATCTATCTTCTCTCTCTAAAATCAACAATATATCCTTGGGTGTGGATTTAAAAAAATAATCTTCAATTATGTAAGTAATGTTAACCCAGACTGGTATGACTCAGTGAATTGGGTGCTGGCCTGTGAACTGAAAGGTTGCTCGTTCAATTACTCTCAGGGTACATGCGCCAGGTCCGAGGTTGGGGGCATGCAAGAGGCAACCACACATTGATGTTTCTCTTTCTTCCTCTCTCTCTAAAAATATATAAATAAAAATTTAAAAAATAGAACAGGAACAGAATCAGAGAAATGGCAATCACCTGGAGGGGTTATCAGCAGGGATGGGTGGGGGAGGGGAAGAATGGGGGAAAAGATACAGGAAATAAGAAGCATAATTGGTAGGTACAAAATAGGGGGAGGGTAAGGATAGTATAGGAAATGGAGAAGCCAAAGAAGTTATGTGTACAACCCATGGACATGAACTAAGGGGGAAAATGATGGAGGGAGATAAAGAGGAGAAAAAAATGGGACAACTGTAATAGCATAATCAATTAAATGTACTAAAAACTTTTAAAAAATTGAAAATATAATGAATGCCAAACTGTAATAACAATCAAGGGGCAATGCCAATTACAAGTGATCATTGCTGCCCTGACCAGTGTGGCTCAATTGCTTAGGTGTCGTCCTGCAAACCAAAAGGTCACTGGTTCAATTCCCAGTCAGAGCACGTTCCTGGGTTGCAGCGGTTCAGTCCCTGGTCGGGGCGCATATAGAGGCAACTGATGGACATTTCTCTCCCACATTGATCTTTCCCTCTACCTCCCTTCCCTTCTCTCTATAAATAAATAAACAAATAAGTAAATAAACAAACAAATAAATAAATAGTATAATCTTAAAAAAAACAAGCAATCATTGCTATTTATTAATTTAGGTCCAGTATTGCTAGGTCTTCTGACTTTTTTTTTACCAGAAGTTGAAACTATCTGTAAAAGTGACAATTATTTTAAAAATATTTTAAAATACACTGTGAGCCATGCAAAACTTTGTCTGAGGGTGGGAGTTGGCTCATCATCTTCCCATCTGTGACCTATACTTTAGGCTGTGAACTTCATGAGGGCAGGGCTGTGGTCTTTTGCTCTCGTTTGTGCCTCCAGTAGCCACCAAAAAGTGCTTGGAAATACTAGATATTGAATAGATACTGAAGGGGGAAGGAGGGAGGGGTCCAGAATGCAGGAAACAAAAACTTGAGGGTTTTGATGGCTTTTATTTTCTCTAAGAA